TCGACTTTTCATTTTGACTTTGACCTCCAAAGTCGAAACATTTTGACTTTTGGGTTTTCATTTCGACTTCATGTATAGGTATTACTATTCAAGCTAAATTTTTGCCAAATCATATGACCGAATTAGCTAAATATTTATCAAAAGATCTAATGCTAAAATAATGCTAAATTATAAGTGATATAATAAATGACTATTAATTTTTATAACTCAAATTGAATTTTTGTCAAATCACATAACTGAATCAATTTGAATATTAACTAAAAGATATTAATATCAAAAGAAATGATTTTGACTAGTGATCAAATTATATCCTTTTATATACCTTTATATAATCACAGTAAATTATATCAATATTAATTTTATTATACAAATAATATCTAAAATATCTAAAAATAAAAAAAGCTTAATCTCAGTCAATACTATTCTGTTTTTCATGAACTAACTACAATTTGAATTTTCAAAACTAGATAAATTCAATTAGTTAATAAACATTAATTTTAAATCATTCAATCTTAAGATAATTATGATTGAATTATTAACTAAAATTATAATTCAATAAATTCTATTTAAAGGAATCTGATTTTAAAATTTAATTGTGAATATCTTGTAATTAGCTGATTAGAATTTAATATATATTAGCTCATTGAATTCGTTTAGTTTTAAAAATTTGAATAATAGTTAGTTTATGAGAAACAAGTAATACTAACTGAGATTGTATTCTTTGTTTAGTTTTTTATATAATAATTATGTGATATAATGACATTAATTTCAATCATTTTGCAATATTGATTAATTTTAGTTTTATATTTAATTTCTACTAATAGAAAACTAAATTTATACTTATTTTATTTGAAGTTTTTAGCAAAATTTTATTATTTTAAGTAATATATATAGAATTATCCTTATATAAAATAATAATATCAAATATTAATTAACTTCATCAATATAAATGAGAGTTTGAAATATGACTAAAATCAAAAATAGCATTTATACAAAATGCAAAGCTAATATGTAAATAGTATAATGATCTTTCAAAAAGAAAAGATGCATTAATTGTTGGTAAAAAAAGGAAAATTGTCTAATAAGAATTTAGTCAATCTAAATTGTTTGGACATTTTAGATATTTAGACATTGTAAACTTATAATCTCAATTGTCTAAATTATTTAAATTAATTTATTTTTAGATATTATTCAAATGTGTTAATTTGGATACTCATCTATAATGATTGTATTCATTTAAAAATTTAGTATTCAAATATTTGAATTTTTTTTTTCAAACAAATTTAAATTAAATTTAAATTTAAAAGAATATTTGATTTTTCATCACAAATTCAAATTTTGAGTCACTAAATTTTATTAGAAACTTAATATTAATATTGTTATCATTATTACAGCATTTTACTAAATTTAATATACATTAAGATTCAGGAAAAATGCTATTTAATAATAGTATATTTATTTCTTTTGAGAAAGATAAAATTTTCTACAATTTTAGGATTTAACCTATTTCTTTTTGAAATAATATGATTGTTCACATCAGAAAAAAACCTTTTATTAGGAATTATCATTTGATGTTCAAAGAAAGTAACAATAATAATTATAAAAGATAGTAAATAGTCAAAGAAAATCAACTAGAAATTGTACTAAAAATAACTTTGGCTTTTTTTTTTAATTTCAAGAGTATATCAAATTTAAAAGATTTCAATATTTTAATAAAATAGAATGAATTTAATATTATTATTATATAAACGTAATTAACCATTTTTTATTGTAAAATATTTATATATGATAACATTAAATTTGATATTCAATTTATTTGAATCAAAATTTCAAAATTTACAATGTAAATAAAAAAATAAAATAGGAAATGATTTTCATCTATGTATCACTAGTTATTAAAATGAAATATAAGTACCACTACTTTATAGTATAACTAGGGAACGGTTTCGAAAACCGTTGTTAAGTCCGGAGCATATTTGTAACGAAAAAGACCAATCATGTATCGACTCAATTTTTGAGCGGGCATAGTATTATATAGTCCTTCGTTACACTCCGGACTAATAAGTAGTAACAACATGAATTCGACGAGCCGTTTAGGATAGTCAGTGTCCTGCTCAAGAAAGGTTGTATATGCTTTGAGAAAAAGTTTGGGAATATTGAGTGAATGTAAATACAGGTAATTCTTATACTGAATGGTTCAGAGTCTATGACTCGGAAATTTCACATGCATAAAATTCATCATTAATTTGTGATCCTTTTAAGAAGGAAAGTAACAACATTTTTTGATAGTAATACCCATAACCTCAGCACATTTCTAATGTGTGGATAGTTATAAAGAAAGAGGCTTTGACAGTCTAACGAAAATGTTTACACAAGTTTATTTGCTGTTTTTTAATGGGTTGTTCATTAAAATTTAAGTGCAATAAAATGTTATAACAGCAAAACAAAGTAGATTTTTTGAATTTTTATTATAAAATATAGATATACCACTATTAAAAATCATTTCCTTCTTAAAGTATCACGAATTAAATAATCTATACAATACTGACAAATATCCATATGCCTTCGATGACAGATATTTTTGAAGAACAAACAATGACTTTTCATATTTTTTACTGATCCTTTTTTAGATATTAGAAAGTACTTTGAGCAGGCTTCGGAATATTTTCCATCCCTTTCAGGATTTGTTGAAGAAAATCGATTTAGTAGTTTGTTCTCCTCCGAAAGGGACCGATTTTAATAGTTTAGATTGCGCATGGAAAAAGCGGTTTAGAACAGCTGCAGATATACTAAATGTGAAGGAGGTGTAAATGTTTTAATTTTCTGCATCTATGGCATCTCAATCAAGGTTTCGCCCTGTAACTGTGGGTAGTTAGGTGTCGCCCTCAGCCCCATCATTGCGATAATTGCAACTTTCTATGGTTTTTTTGATTAATTATTAGTTACTTAGTTGCTAGAGAAACCTATTATTAATTACATTTATAGGTATATAGATTAATGTTGACACACTCGATCGGAATAATATTATTGAAATGAGACATGAGGTATATTAAAAAAACTGAATATAGCTTTTATCGATTTTTTTATGATTAACGTGTATCGGTATGTGGCAGGAACGAATTACAGCCCAACGCCGTGGAAAAACTTACGTTATGTATGAAAATGAAAACGAAATTATTGGAAATCAATGAACGAAAAACCAGGAAAAACGTCTTGCAAGTCATCAACAAGATGAAGAATCTAAACGGTTGATAAGGAGGGAATAGATAACCTTCAGAAAGAACTGTCATCGGGGATTGTTGATTATGTTGGTAACGAAAACATTGCGTTTGATGGTAATAACCTTTTTTTGATTCATATTCTAAACAAGACTGTTCTTGAAACTAATTTATTTTACAGACGGATTTCAACCCCCAATCAAATTGTCAGTAACACATACGACTCAGAAGTATCAATTAACGAAAATATACTAAGAATATCTGCTATGAATTTAGCAAAGCTGAGGTATGTTGTTTGAAGATGCTAATTTTTTAAAACATAGTAAATATTAAATGTTTTCCCAGCAAAATAACTTATTTTCGTAAGTATTTGAATTTCTAAGATATATTTTTTAATTCTAGAACTAATACCTTCTCAATATATAGGTGCACGAACGATGACATGATTCTAAATTTTTGTTGTATGATAATTATATAAAATTAATGTCAGAAAAACCAAAAATTAAAGTTGAATTACCAGAAGGTTGGCGTAATGTTATTGAAAAAAATTTAAGGTAGTTATATGTATTTGTTATTCATAGCAGTTATTGATTCCATTGTTTTATAGGAACAACCGAAAGTGGGTCGATAAAAAATATATCTGACTGGATTCGTACTACAGAAGAGCTGGGAGTTGCGAAAGAGGAAGATCACGAAGAGTTAATAAAGATAAAATATTTGAATCGAGATATGCTTCCATTTGATTTCTTGGTTTTATTTTTATTAATTGCTTATTGTTTCTAATATTTTATATTGTAGGATCGAATCATTCTCAAAACCAGCTCCAGATATTAGTGTCCCAAACACCAGTGAGCACCATTATTGGTCAGAATTTGCGCATCGTTTTTTCTCGAGGGCATTACAAGAATTTATAGGTCTTGACTGGAGAGCGTAAGCATTGAATTTATTGAGTTTGATTAAGCTATCGTAATGTTGTTTTCAAATCGTTATGTTAAATTTATTTTTATTTTAGCATGGAAGTTCCCGTGCAGGCCTCAAAGTATCAAAAAATAACCATGCTATAGACAAAGTAGTTGACGGAAAACGGGAGAAGAAATTTTTATTGGAGAGCAAGCCGGACCTCCCACTAAAACTGATTTAACAAAACTTACAATGGATTTCTTTTAAATTGTACAGAGAGATGAGGGATTGTTTAAACGTTAGGATTTTACGGGCAATGGGAAAGCGTGACATGAATTACAATAACTGGTCTGTTTTCGGAATATTGGTTATCTTTTCGAAATCAAAATGCTTATAATGTGGAAAGATGGAGTATACCGTATATATATGAAGAACGTGGAAGTTTAAACATTGCTTCCAACTCGGCACAAATTTTAGAGATGAAATCAGGTTATTGGAATTTCAGTCATGTGAATTTGATCAAGACCCGGAAATTTTCCTACCTGGCTCTGTTTACATAAAAATAAAGATCAGAGTACAACCGTTGATATTTCAGCTGAAAGGAAAATTCAATAAACATCACATGAGAAATATAAAATAATGAATATGCAAGGTCACATGAAAATTCGCAGGAATCCTTTGTTACAATAAATCGCACTATAATTAAGCAGCTAAACTCATTCCTACTATGCTATTACAACAGATTTTCATTTCTGCAAAAGATATTGACGAATTTTGGTAAATGTTGTTAAAATTGCTTCTCTTCCATTTGGGTCTGACAGATCGAGACCAGACCGCCTATATTCCCCCCCCCCCGGCCACCTATTAATCACAACTGAGTGTTCCTGTGGTAATCCTACACCAAGCGCTACCCAATATTCTGCAGGAATTACAGTCCTGTAAAACGTAACATACGTAGAGATAAAGCGAACGGCAAACATTTCCTGATTAGTAACTTCAAGTAAATCAGCCTCACGTTTATTTTCATCTCCACATGCGAGTATTTCGGCAGCGATTTGCGTTTCGCCAAAATCTTGAATGGGATCAACGTTCCGCAAGTGCTTATCCTGCAAAAAAGACTGTTTGAATCATTCAAAAGATATGGACTTGTCAAACAATAAAAAATATACATACCTCTACAATAACCATTGCCATTCTTTTATTATTAACCACAAATTTGGGAATTGCTGTAACATAAGGCTCACCTAAAATATGTAGTCTGCTTGGCGGTTCATTTCTGGATTTTGACAGATGAAACTTTTAGAAATCATTGGAGTGAGACACAAAGAAAGAATTCTTCATAATAATTCACATAATCTCCAAAGGATAGATATTCATCATAACGATACGAAGTAAGTCATCAACCAATGTGTTGGTTTTAGATTCGGGTATCCCTGATTGGTTTCTCGTGACAATATGCAATTTATCAAAGAATGTTCGGACGTTATCATCCGAAATATCGCTAATTTCTTCAACGTTGAAGTTGCTACCGTCGACTATGACTTTACTGATTTTGGGACAAACGTATTGTTCTGGAAATTCCGAGACTTTCTTATTAGGAATGACTTGATCTTCGGATGGAGCTGGTTGGAAACTCACTCTTAGTGCCTTTAAATCTCTTCTCGTGAAACTAGATGCTGAAGTACTCATGTCGACCGGGAGCTTTAGTGTAGCTTTGACATCTTCTCGCGACATCGAATGGCTTTTGTCTAATAATGTGGAAGTGGAGGAGAAAAAAACTCTTGGTCGAATACGCAATATGGGACGAGAAAACCTCGATCAAAGAAAACATTTAAGAAACCAAAAAAAAAAATATTTAATCTTTTTCTCGATAATCTTTATCACGTGACTGAGGCAACTCACTATTTTTTAACTAGGGAATGGTCGGTCAACGGTCGGTCAACGGTCACTCAGAGGTCTTTGACCGACCGACCGGTTATACTGGCCGGTTGACCGGCCCATTTAGCAATAATATAATTTAAAGAGCTTTAAATAATACTAACATGGCATTTGCTAAAACTCGGATTTTTTATATATTTTACTTATTTCTTTTAGGCTAACTCAATATGCTTATTAAGTTTACTTTCATGTTTATAATGAACTTTTTTTTAAAAAATTGATTAAAAATTTTATTTACCATTGAACTTAAGGTGACTTAATAACAGGAGTAATACAACCAAATATAGATCAATCAATAAATATGTAACATGAGTTTAGAAAAAAAGATTCCTTTATTATAGATTTTGTATCCTTAGAATCCTTTACACTTAGATTCTAAACCTTTAAACTCTTACCATAAGTTTTTAAATTCACATCTGAGTTATCTTTTCATATAAGTTATACTTATCTTGGTTATACAAAAATACAATTATAAGAAAATCTATTTATAATATTATTTTATAATAAATAAATAAATAAATAATATAAGAAATATAAAAATGTTAAAAATGTTAAAAGAATTGATAATGTTAACATTTTAGCAGATCCTTATGATGCAGTAATTTTGATATAATCTGATATTAGCATATATTAATAAACATATTTATATGCAATAAATCAATGAATTTTTTCTCATTATGATGTAATAATGAGTAATGTAATATTTACCAAAACTTCTAATAAAGCTTATCTTCAGAAATTGAAAAATCATATGGGAAGTTTGCTAGGAAAATGGGGTTCTGAGACATTTTTTAAAAAATTGAAATTTTTGATACATATTAAT